GAAGATGGAGAGATAACATCAAAGACATCATACAATATAACAACATCAATTAACAATGGTTGAGGCGGCCGGAAGATCCCAGAACCAGACACAAGGAGGAGGAGGAGGAAGAGGAGGAGGAGGAGGAGGAGGAGGAGGAGGAGAATAAGAATTAGAATAGAATAGAGTAGAGTAGAGTAGAGTAGACTAGACTAGACTAGACTAGACTAGACTAGAATAGTTTATGTGTGATTAGACACAAAAGGAATTGGACACAACTAGCTCACATTTACAATGCTTGAAGCATCCTTCAGTCACGTGATCACAAATTGTGATCTTCCCAGCCAACTTCTGACAAGCAAAGTCAATGGGGAAGACAGATTTGTTTAAGAAACATGAGAATAGAATAGAATAGAATAGAATAGAATAGAATAGAACAGAGTAGAGTAGAGTAGAATAGAGTAAAATAGAAATACAGAATGGAAAGAATGGAAAGAATAGAATAGAATAGAATAGAATAGAATAGAATAGAATAGAATAGAATAGTTTATGTATGATTAGACACAAAAGGAATTTGTCTCTGGTAAAGAAGCACTCAGTATACTCACAAAACAACAGAGAAATTATGACTATTAATACTGCAAGTATTCAGCCAGTAGAAGGTGTAAATAACAAAAGGATAAATAATACTACAGCCCCACTTTATGGCAGACCTGTCAAACCTGCAACGTCACGTGACATCGCGCAACGTATCGGAGCTTTGTCTCCATTGCCGGCAATGGGGTGGGCACGGTTTCCTGATGACGCGTCCGGCCCACGAGTTGGCAGTTTGACACCCCTGCTTTATGGGTTAATATACATAGATAGAACTTAGTCATTGTGCTTTGTCAACTGTGAGAATTAGGTGTTCAGAATAATGATGGAGTAGAGTAGGAGATCACATGAGACAACCTGGATCAACCCTTGTTCTGTCCAGCTGTCTTTTCCAGACAACCTTTTTCTCCGTAGCTAGGTCCATTCCCCAAAGAAACGTGTGCTTCTGAAATGAAAGCTGATCTAAATAGCAGCATAAGTGGGGAGAGCTAGCATATAAACCTAAATTCTAGTTGCACTCATACACACTTATATCTTTCCCTCCCATGTTATCATTCTGCCTCCAAATATAGAACATAGAGTTGAAGGACCTCAAAGATCTTCTAGTCTAGTCCAACCTCCTGTTCAAGCAGGAAACTCTATACCAGTGATGGCGAACCTATGGCACGGGTGCCAGAGGTGGCACTCAGAGCCCTCTCTGTGGGCACGTGCGCCGTCGCCCCAGTCCTAGGCCTTCAGCTGGGTTTTATAAAACCTTTTCGCTTTAGGCCTCTGCTGCCGTGTGCAAAAAAAAAAAAAAAAGGTTCAATCAATCAGTCAATTTCAACTTCTCGTGGGAAAAAAAAAAGATCTTGAAAAGTTGGAATTGATTGATTGAACTTTTTAGTCCCACCCAGTCTGCCGTTACCACCGCAGCCACGCCCACCCAATGGGCCACACCCACCCAATGGGCCACACCCACCCGGCACCCGACGATGCATAAGTGGGTTTTGGGTTGCAGTTTGGGCACTCAGTCTCTAAAAGGTTCGCCATCACTGCCCTATGCCATTTCAGACAAATGGTTGTCCAGTCTCTTCTCAAAAGCCTCCAGTGATGGAGCACCCACAACCTCTGAAAGCAAGCTATTCCATTGGTTGATTGCTCTCACTATTAAGAAATGTATCCTTAGTTCTAGGTTTCTCTCCTTGGTTAGTTTCCATCCATTGTTTCTGGACTTGCCTTTTGGTGCTTTGGAAAATAGTTTGACCCCCCTGGTCTTTAAAATATGAACCACATTCCTCTCAATCATCCTGGCTGGTTGGCGATTCCCTATCAAACACGAGCAGCTCTGCATTTTCATTCTCAGCTCCCCTGTTCACCTTCTCCAGGTGATTTATGAGTACGTCTGAACCACAAATTTTAACTGCAAGAAGCAGGCAAGCAGAGAATAGCCTCTGAAAAGAAAAATAGATGATATACTCAAGGAGGGGGTTTTCCATTATACATCTCCCTCCTTTAGAAAATATTCAGACAGGAGAATAGTACAATCTGGATTAGTATTTTTAGCAAGATTTGGGGAAATTCTGATTCTTCTGTTTGATTATGTGTCACACAGAGGTAGCACAGCAATTTGGTTTTTTTTTTAAGCTACCATGTAGTTACTGCCATTTATGGTAGCAAAATCAAAAAAGGGTCTGATAGCACCGTTTTCAGCTAACAAATTCCAATACATTTTTAAATATATTTTCTAATTGTTATTTAATTAAAATTTCTCAGAAAAAGTGCAGCCAGACTCCTGATTTTAAGCGTATCAGATTAAACGCTCTCCTGCTACGCTGTTTATGGTACATTCCTGCCATCTACTGGTACATTGTGATATTGTACAAAAGTGATAAAACAGTGCTGCCGTTTACTATGGAATGGAAAAGAAAGGAATGGAACTGAACGGAACAGAACTGAACACTGTAGAATAGAGTTCTATAGCTTTATAATAGAATAGAATAGAATAGAATAGAATAGAATAGAATAGAATAGAATAGAATAGAATGAGTTGGAAAAAAGTTAATAATAATAATAAAGTTGGAAAGGACCTTGGAGGTCATCTAGTCCAACCCCTGCTCAGGCAGGAAACCCTATACCAGGGATAGGCAACCTTGGCTCTTTTATGACTTGTGGACTTCAATACCCAGAATTCCTGAACCAGCCATGCTGACAGGAATTCTGGGAGTTGAAGTCCACAAGTCATAAAAGAGCCAAGGTTGCTTTCCCCTGCCCTATACCATTTCAGACAAATGGCTGTCGAATCTCTTTTTAAAAACTTCCAGTGTTGGAGTATTCACAGCTTCTGGAGGCAGGTTGTTCCACTGATTAATTTTTCTAATTGTCAGGAAGTTTCTCCTTAGTTCTAGGTTGCTTCTCTCCTTGATTAGTTTCCATCTGTTGCTCTTTGTCCTGCCTTCAGGTGCTTTGGAGAATAGCTCTTCTTTGTGGCAACCCCTGAGATATTGGAACACTGCTATCATGTCCCCCCTTGTCCTCCTCTTCATTAAACTAGACATACCCAATTCCAACAATCGTTCCTTCTCTATACTCTTTCTAGAGTCTCAACATCTTATTTACATCGTGGTGACCAAAACTGGAGGCAGTATTCCAAGTATGGCCTTACTAAGGCATTGTAAAGTGGTATTAACACTTCATGTGATCTTGATTCTATCCCTCTGTTAATGCAGCCTAGGACTGTTGGCTTTTTTGGCAGCTGCAGCACACGGCTGGCTCCTATTTAGGTGATTGTCCACTAGGACTCCAAGGTCCCTCTCACAGTTACTGCTATTGAGCAAGGTACCCCCCCCTATACTATACCTATACATTTGTTTTTTCTTGCCAAAATGTAGAACCTTACTTTTTTCACCACTGAATTTCATTTTAGATAGTGCCCAGTGTTAAAGTCTGTCCAGATCCTCCTGTATCCTAAGCCTGTCTTCTGGAGTGTTGGCTATTCCTGCCAGCTTGATATTGTCTGCAAATTTGATGAGTTCCCCATCTATCCCCTCGTCCAGATCGTTGATGAAGATGTTGAAGAGCATTGGGCCCAGAACAGAGCCTTGGGGCACCCCACTACACACTTCCCTCCATGTAGATGTGGTGCCATTGAGGACCACACGGTCTTCTACTGGTAGTCCAATCCCCTGCTGAAGCAGGAAACCCTATACCATTCTGGACAGGTGGCTGTCCAATCTCTTCTTAAAAACCTCCAGTGATGGAGCACCTTCAACTCCTGAAGGCCAGCCATTCCACTGGTTAATTTTTCTCACCAACAGGAAATTTTTCCTTAATTCTAGGTTGCTTCTCTCTTTGTTAAGCTTCCACCCATTATGTCTTGTCCTGTCCTGAGATGCCTTTGAGACTAGTCTGACCCCTCTTCTTTATGACAGCCTCTCATATATTGGAAGATGGCTATCATATCACCCCTAGTCCTTCCCTTCATTATTCCTGATATATCCAATTCTTGCAACCATTCTTTATATATTTTAGACTCTAAAGAGTCTCTTCAACATTCCCTCCAACATTTTTTTTCATAGACTGGCTTGGGATATTTTTGGTGGTAGTGGTGATGGGGAGGTTGTCCAACAAATATTTTTATGATAGCCGATTACCTCTCACTTGAGAAGTAGACAAGGACAGGGTGGATGGACTCAATTACAGTGGCAATGGATGCACCAATGGGAGACTTGGAATAACAGGTTAGGGACAGATCACGATATAGAAAAATCTATATGGTCTCTAAGAGTCGAAAAACGATTTGATGGCATATAAAACCAATCAATAAAGAATAAAATAAATTTGTTCACCTCCAAAATTAAGAACCTGGTTCCCTCCCTCTTCCTCTTCCTTCCTTCCTTCCTTCCTTCCTTCCTTCCTTCCTTCCTTCCTTCCTTCCTTCCTATTTCTCTCTCTCTCTCTCTCTCTTTTTCTTCCTTCCTTCCTTCCTTCCTTCCTTCCTTCCTTCCTTCCTTCCTTCCTTCCTTCCTTCCTTCCTTTCTTTCTTTCTTTCTTTCTTTCTTTCTTTCTTTCTTTCTTTTCCTTCCTTCCTTTTCTCTCTCTCTCTCTCTCTCTCTCTTTCTTTCTTTCTTTCTTTCTTTCTTTCTTTCTTTCTTTCTTTCTTTCTTTCTTTCTTTCTTTCTTTCTTTTCCTTCCTTCCTTCCCTCCCTCCCTGTCTGTCTGTCTGTCTGTCTCACACACACACACACACACATACTCTCTCTTCCTCCCATAATTCCTCCTATTTTACTACTTAGAGAAGTACTGGATTACTTGAAAATTATCTGCTTTAGGGGAAAGAGCAATTTTGGGGAGTTGCAGTGGTAAAACACAGAGATCCGAAAAGTTAGTCTTTGCGTCGCTCTTAGAAGCTCTTCTGAACAAAGCAGCAACGGAGTCAAGGCTGTCAACTCTGGCGGGCGGACCAAGAGGGGTTCCCGGCCGGGAACTTTTTCTTCCGGAGGTTGATTTCTCTTTTAGTAGCCTGCAGGAGGAGCTAAGGTCTGGAGAAAGAAAGAAAGCGGAGAAGACTTTGTCCCCTTCCATGGTCTGCGGAGCCTGTGTGTTTGTTTGGAAGAAGCCTGGAAAACATTAGACGAAGCCCCAGCCCTGGAAAGAATGTGGACCAGCTTGAGGACAGGCATCGAGCCCACCTACCCAAGGGACAGAAGCTGTGGGGCCCGGACCCGATTCTGGGTGCTGGCAGGGGGAATAGCTGTCATCTTGTTCCTTCTGGGATTCTTAAGCGGTAGGACCGAGATTGCACAAGATTGTCATTTTTTCCCCTGCGGCCCCCCCCCAAGAAAAAGGCTTGTAGAAAAGTGACCCCCCCTTCTCTCTCAGTGGGTCTCTCTCTCTCTCTCTCTCTCTCTCTCTCTCTCTCTGTGTGTGTGTGTGTGTGTGATCTGCCACTCATTACTGAAAGGGAAATTGCATTCACGTGCTTGGAAAATGTTTCCGCAGCTGGTTAGGAGCAGGATGGAAAGGATCCAAATTAGTTTCAGTTTCTTTGAAAAACAGAAGCATTCGTGTTTGATTGAAGTGAAAGTACTGTGAAAGTTTGGGAATCCTTTCTACAATTGTTTGGGAATGAACTCCATTTAATGAGCCCTGTGGATAACATTTTTTTTAAAAAAAACCAAATAGAAAGAAAGAAAGAAAAGAGAGAGAGAGAAAGAAAAAAGAAAGAAAGAAAAGAAAGAGAGAGAGAGAGAAAGAAAGAAAGAAAGAAAGAAAGGAAGAGAAAAAAAGGGGGGGAGGAAAAACAATTAATATAGAAATATATAAGGGCTAGACAAAACTACCAACATTTTACTGTTAGTGCTCAGTATATCAGTAATGAGAAATTAACTGTAAAAAACAAAAGTACAGTATATTCAATTATTTTAATAATAAGAGAAAGGATTTGAGTCTTTGACTTGATTTCCAAATTGTCCACTATTTGTTATTTAAAAAAAAGGATGGATGGATGGATGGAAGGATGGAAGGGGATTAAAAGATGGGCTTTTTTCTGCAGTGGCTCCTGTTCTTTGAAATATCCTCCCTGCAGAACTAAGAATGGCCTCAGCATTGTTAAGCCCTTCAAAAGGCTTTAAAAGCTTTAAAAGTTCCTGAGACTGGGTAGCTGAATCTTTTAAAGATCCTTTTTCCTGGATGTATTGCTAACTGGCCAGGTATCTAGGCTGCTATCTATATTCATTTTGGATGTTTCTATTGTTTTACTTTTTACTGTTTTAAAATGTCTTAGTGTCTTATTTGTAATATATTTCTTGAATTGGTAGTCGCCCAGAATCGACTGAAATGGTCGCCTATGGAAATTGAATAAATACATAAAATTATATATCAATATTTCATTTTTAACATCCCCTTTATTGCACTCTGATATACAAATGTACAAATATTTAACTTTTTTGTGTATTTCTGATTTCAGTAACCAGTCTTCTCTCTCTCTCTCTCTCTCTCTCTCTCTCTCTCTCTCTCTCTCTCTAGTCCTCGATTTACAACAGTTTAGTCCCCAAAGTTACAACGGAATTGAGAAAAGTGGCTTATAACCATTTTTCACACTTACGACCTTTGCAGCATCCCCATGGTCACGTGATCAAAATTCAGATGCTTGGCAACTGGCTCATATTTATGACGGTTGCAATGTCCTGGGGTCACAGGATCCTCTTTTGTGACCTTCGGACAAGCAAAGTCAATGGGGAAGCCAGATTCACATACCAACCAGGTTACTAACTTAACAACTGCAGGGCTTCACTTAATAATGGTGGCAGGAAAGGTCATGCAGTAAAATGGGGCAAAACTCACTTAATTGTGTCACTTACCAATAGAAATTTGGGGCTCAGTTGTGGTCATATGTTGAGGACTACCTGTGCTGTAGTTTATGGTTCATGAAGAAAGTGGAGGGTATGAGCTAATTCCACATCCAGATTAATTGTGTCAACGCAACAGCTACTGAGGAGGTAACTCTTGTGTGACGAATTGCAAAATTTGGGGGCACGCAACAATTTACCTCATGCTTTTCATGCCAGAGAAATCGGTTTGATCTGATTTCCAGGCTGGCTGGCGAATAGACGTGCCCATCAGTTGCCGAGGACAGATGCCCATGAGAAGATGAAGGAGGCCTTCATGAAGGAGATGAAAGCAGGGAGCATCAAGCAAATTCTCTAGTAAGCTACACTGGGCTGTATGTTAGCCTTCCCAAAGGTTTAGGAAATATATAGCAGTGAAATAGAGAAATAGCTATTTTAACACACACAAACACACACATACACACATTAGCACTCATCTTCCTCAGCTTCATGCTGGGATGATGGGAATCTTAAAGACACATCTGGAAGGGAGCAAGATGGAAACCAATATATGACAGTCAACTTCCCAAGTCCAGAATTTGGTTGTACAAATTGCTCCGTCCCAGGCCTCCCTCCTTCCCTCCTCCTTCAACTTTCCCTCCCTCCCTCCTTTCCTCCCCCCTCTCCTCCCTCCCTCCCTCCCTCCTCCTTTAACTTTCCCTCCCTCCCTCCCTCCCTCCCTCCTTTCCTCCTCCCTCCCTCCTTCCCTTCCTCCCTCCTCCTCCCTCCCTCCTCCTTTAACTTTCCCTCCCTCCTTTCCTCCCTCCTTTCCTCCCTCCCTCCCTCCTTCCTCCCTCCATCCCTTCCCCTCCTCCCTCCCTCCCTCCCTCTCCTCCTCCTTCAACTTTCCCACCCTCCTTTCCTCCCTCTCTCCCTCCCTCTCCCTTCCTTCCTTCCTCCCTCCCTCTCCTCCTTCCCTCCTCCTTCAACTTTCCCTCCCTCCCTCCCTCCCTCCCTCCCTCCCTCCCTCACTTCCCTCCCTCCTTCCCTCTCCTTCCTTTCCTCCCTCCCTCCTTTCCTCCCCCCTCTCCTCCCTCCCTCCCTCCCTCCTCCTTTAACTTTCCCTCCCTCCCTCCCTCCCTCCCTCCTTTCCTCCTCCCTCCCTCCTTCCCTTCCTCCCTCCTCCTCCCTCCCTCCTCCTTTAACTTTCCCTCCCTCCCTCCTTTCCTCCCTCCTTTCCTCCCTCCTTTCCTCCCTCCCTCCCTCCTTCCTCCCTCCATCCCTTCCCCTCCTTCTCCCTCCCTCCCTCTCCTCCTCCTTCAACTTTCCCACCCTCCTTTCCTCCCTCTCTCCCTCCCTCTCCCTTCCTTCCTTCCTCCCTCCCTCTCCTCCTTCCCTCCTCCTTCAACTTTCCCTCCCTCCCTCCCTCCCTCCCTCCCTCCCTCCCTCATTTCTTCCCCCCTTTCCTCCCTCCCTCCTCCCGCCCTCCTCCTTCAACTTTCCCTCCTCCTGTGGTGATTCCATGCCAGCCTGTGCTCCCAACAGCTGAGTCTGAGGAATCTGAGGAGGTGGAGGAGGCATTTGAAGGGCCATCAGGGGCAGAGGGAGGCTCGGATGAATTACAGGACTCATGGTTTGATGCAGAGCCTGGGCCCTCCAGTCGTGTTTCTGATGAAGCTCAGCTGTGTGAGGAGAATGAGTCAGACTCAGAAGAATCACACCTGATGGACTTGCTAATTGATGCTTGCACATGTCATTTAGCAAGAGAAAATCAGCAGCAATCAATACGACGCCTCCAGAGTAAAAGGAGAAGGTGATGAGAGGCAACGCCTTGGGACTGCTGAATAAAGGGAGGAGGTGTGGGCGGTGCTGGTTGCTGAAGGCAACCGTTTGCAAAGTGCTTCTTGGAATCCTGGTCTGTTCGTCTTGCTTGTGACTTCTCTTCTGTTTGCATCGTGTTTCCTGTGGACTATTTCCTTCATTTGGATTGAGTTTTGCTGTTTGTGTTTTGGAGTATTTGACAGGTTTGTCACCCATATTAAAAGGGGTTTGTTTTGTAAAGTCTCCAGCCTATTGCATCAGCAGGGGTTTGGTCCTTGTGCCTTTAACAAGGATGGCAATAGGTTGGGATAGAACACTTCCTTTCCTCCCTCCCTCTCCCTCCTTCCCTTCCTTCCTTCCTCCCTCCCTCCCCTCCTCCTTCAACTTTCCCTCCCTCCTTTCCTCCCTTTCTCTCCCTTCCCTCCTTCCCTCCCTCCCTCCCGCCCTCCCTCTGTCTTTTGCTTAACAGAAAGTGTAGCATCTTTTAAAATGATGAATTATAGAGCTTTTATAAGCATCTGTGAGTTACAGTTCCTTTGCTCTGCTTCTTTGCTCCATTCTTTTGCACATGCCGGTGTGTGTCTACGTGTATGTGCATGGGTTTGAAAAGAATGTCTGAACTTGTCCCAAGACTGAAGAGATAATAGATTTTTCTAGGGTTGGAAGTCACATGATAGGCACTGCAAGGGGTGCACACCAGCGTCTTCTGCCCTGCTCCCACCAACATAGGACAATGTCAAGAAAAAAGTTGAAAGCAAGTCTTGAGGCATATCCCAGCACATGTAGTGCTGAACTGAAAAAGACAAATTTGAGTGACACAACTCAGTCATTCAGTTCTGAGCCAGCAGAACATAAATTCAGTTCTGAGCCAGCCTCTGCATAAATTCACACCTCCCACCCACACGCTTCTACTGTCCCCAGAAACATTCTTTATACACTGATCCATAAATATATTAAACCACCAAAGAGGCATCACACACACCCTGTGTTACTGCCTGCTGATTGTTGAACTACACACTGAACATTTCATTTATTCTCCCACATGCTGAAGAATAAAAATCTGTTCTGCATAGCCTTGATATGTGGATTAGGTCTGGGTAACTTATTAAAGGTGTTGAGGGAGTTTGAGTAAAATATTTTTCCCTGTTTGCTATTTTTATTGGATTAATTTAGATTCAGCTTGGCCGTTAATTATCTAGTGGGGACACTGATTCTCAGACCATTGTGGATTCTGTTAATGTTTTAGGGGGTAGATAGAAACAGTATAAAGAATAAAATATATTTTGTTATAAAACTTCTCACAGAGCAAATAATGCCATCTTCTTCCTTCTAGCAATTTCACCCGGCAGCCTCACTTGGCAGGCACACAGGAGAATTTGCATCTAGCTGAACAGATACAAGCAAACTGGAAGGCCTTTGGCCTAGACTCGGTCCAACTGGCTCCTTATGATGTTCTGCTTTCCTACCCCAATGAGACACGTCCTAACTACATCTCACTCATTGACGAGCAGGGCCAAGAGGTAAAGGAGAGGGGCTGGATTGTGAATATGGAGTAGGTTTCACAACCTGATACACTAGGCTAATATGAGGTTATGTAGCGAGGTACCTCAACTTATGACTATATGTGGGACTAGATTTCCATTGCTAAGTGATGCAATCATTAAATGATTGATCACATGACTGGATTCAACTTTGCAACCATATTTATCATGGCAGTTGAGCAAATCACACATAGTTTCTAAGTAATGAAATGGTATAGGGTTTCCTGCCTGAGCAGGGGGCTGGACTAGAAGACATCCAAGGTCCCTTCCAACTCTGTTATCTTATCCTATCCTATCCTATCCTATCCTATCCTATCCTATCCTATCCTATCCTATCCTATTCTTTCCATTCTGTATTTCTATTTTACTCTACTCTACTCTACTCTACTCTACTCTACTCTACTCTGTATTTCTTTTTTACTCTACTCTACTCTTCTGTTCTGTTCTGATTTCCATTCTGTATTTCTATTCTATTCTGTTCTGTTCTACTCTATTCCTATTCTATTCTATTCTTATTTCCATTCTGTATTTCTATTCTATTCTATTCTATTCTATTCTATTCTATTCTATTCTATTCTATTCTATTCTATTCTATTCTCATGGTTCTTAAACAAATCTGTCTTCCCCATTGACTTTGCTTGTCAGAAGCTGGCTGGGAAGATCACAGTTTGTGATCACGTGACTGAAGGATGCTTCAAGAATTGTAAATGTAAGCCAGTTGCCAAATGCCCAAATTACAGTCAGGTGACTGTAGGGGTGGTGTGACAATTGGAACTGCAGGGATGGGTTGTAAGTCATTTTATTCAGCACCATGATAACTCTGGCCTTTAAATGAATGGTCAGAAATTGAGAACTACCTGCAGTTCAAAATTAAGTGTGTTGTGAGAATCATTGCATTGCCTTAAAGATTACATGAAGCCACCATAGAGAATATTTGGGCATTGTATGTCAGACAAACACAACCATTTTTTTTTTTTAGAGTTTCGCTAAATTGGCTTCATTTTGATGGGCCCTTGGCAAATACCTTTCTTAAATGAATTTCCATCCCCTTCCTCAACCTTTGCCCACACCGAAGTTGGATATATCAGATGTTGTTTTTTATATGCCATTTCCCCCCCTTTGTGGCTCCTGAACTATCTAGATTTTCAACACATCGCTATCTGAGCCTGTTCCTGCAGGATATGAGACCATTGAAGATATTGTGCCTCCCTATAGTGCCTTCTCAGCCCAGGGTCAGCCAGAGGTAAGGATTAAAAGGCATTTGGGGCGGCATTCAGACCTGGCAAGGCTCTAGGAAAATACTACTACAGTTGTGTCAGGAGCACTGAAACGCTTCCGGGTTGAAAGGATTAGCCTGTGACATCACCGCTGCCTGGGGGATGCCCAGATGAGGGCCCCTTTCATGTCCCCATTATATTGCCCACTGAAGTGGTACCCATCTATCTACTCGCAGTCACCCTGCTGCATCGGCAGGAGCTGGAGCAAATGACGGGAACTTACCCCATCATGTAGCAGCAACTGGGTCTTGAACGTTAGCTTGCTGATCGTTAGTCCAGCATCCTAACCACATGAACCACTGCACTCCCTCTGCCATAGGAAGATGTAGCAGTTCTATCTGACAAGTGCTAACAGAGAAGATAGACTTATATACTGCCTCACAGTGCTTTACAGCCCTCTCTAAGCGGTTTACAGAGTCAGCCTATATGCCCCTAACAATCTGGGTCCTCATTTTATCCACCTCAGAAGGATGGAAGGGCTGAGTCAACCTTGAGCTAGTCAGGATCAAACTGCTGGAGTGAGCAGTGAGTTAGCCTGCAGTTCTGCATTCTAACCACTGTGCCATCACAGGTCTTAACAACTTAACACAGTATAACAACTGATTGTGGCATGGATGCCCCCAAAAGGCATCCTAAAGCTGTGAAGGAGTGGGCAAGAACCCACCTTAAACAGAAGGAGTGAAGGCATGAAGAAAGAAAGCATATCTGGATCTATCAAGCTATCGAGGATCACACAGGAGCCATATAAGAAGGCTTAATTTACAGTGGTGTTTTTATATGAAATTATAATAAAACACATTCATTCATTCATTCATTCATTCATTCATTCATTCATTCATTCATTATGAAAACAATTCTGAAATATTGAGAAGGCTCTTTGCGACTTGGATGTCCAAAGTTAGCTTGTTTAGCTTAGGCCAGGGGTAGGTAACCTTGGCTCTTTTACGACTTGTGGACTTCAACTCCCAGAATTCCTGAGCCAGTCATGCTGAGGGGAAAGGGAGAGGTTTCCAAACTGAGCCATGCTGGCTCAGGAATTCTGGGAGTTGAAGTCCACAGGTCATAAAAGAGCCAAGGTTGCCTACTCCTGGCTTAGGCCTAAATCCATCTCTAATGGGACTTGCCTAGGTGTTATGTATGAATGTTCTTGCATTATGTAGCCCTTTCCCTTTAGGCATTTCTGTAGTTTGGAATAGGAGTCCCTAATTTTTTACAGTTATTAGGTATATTTGGGGAAATGTAAGAGATATTTTGGGGGAAAAATGGGCTGTTTGTCTATGGGCAGAGCCCACAAAAGATCAATTTATAGGATGCCAATTGGTGAAGTTTCTTCTTGTGTTTTCTTTCCATTTATGGTTGACTTGATTGTCACAGGCTGAGATGGAATCCAAGGTAAAATTAAGAAGTACCCAGAATCTGATGCAAAATGGCATTTTCCTTTTTAATTTTATTTAAAAATAATTTATTTTTAATTATTAGATATTTTATTCCACCTTTTTATGTTATAAGTAACCCAAGGCAGGGAACGTACTGAATTCTCCTGCCTCCTCCTATTTTCCCCACAATAACAATCCTGTGAGGGGAAAATAGGAGTGACTTGCCCAAAATCACCCAGTTGGCTTTCACATTTAAGATGGGACTAGGTTTCATGCCTAATGTTGGACTAGAACTCACGGTCTCCTGGTGATTGGCCCAAAGTCACCTAGCTGGCTTTCATGGCTAAGGTGGGACTGAAACTCACCATCTCCCAATGCCTTAACACCAGACCAAAATGGCGCTTATTTTACTTTAGATCTTCAGATAATGAAATGAAATTAAATTAAAATTAAGATTTACTTACTTTAAGATTGTAATCTTACTAAAAACAACCTAACAAGTAGAGGAGGTAAATAAGAGATCTACAGGCACTTTAGTTAGTGTTTATGACATTAACCCAAGACAGCAATAACCCAAAGACAATTTTAAGTGATTAAATTTGAATCACACACACACCAGTCTATTTAGGATGGATTTGGGGCAACGGTTTATAACAGAACTCAAAATTAAGCAGTGCTGAACCTGGATAATCTTGAATGAGAGACCACTTACTGTCTCATCCAAGTATTAACCAGGCTAAGTGAGGCAGTAGGTGGTCTCGTATTCAAGATTCAAGAGTCAGCACTATTTAGCTTCTCAGTGGCAAAGGGATATAATTAACAATGTTTTTCTTATTTACTGTTATTAGAAAGATTTAAAGTAGACAAAAGGGTTTGTGGTTTTGAACACTGTAAGACCGAATTGGAAACAGAATTGTGTACAAATGATGAACGTATAATTGCTAAACTGTATAAACTTTTATTGAAATTTGAAATAGGAACAAATGAAGAAAAGCACAGTATAGTATAGGGTAGGCCACCTTGGCTCTTTTATGACTCGTGGACTTCAACTCCCAGAATTCCTGAGCCAGCATGGCTCAGCTTGGAAACCTTTCCTTTTCCCCTCAGCATGGCTGGCTCAGGAATTCTGGGAGTTGAAGTCCACGAGTCATAAAAGAGCCAAGGTTGCCTACCCCTGTGGGTGCACTTTGCAACTTCCTCACTTCATTGGTGTGTGTTGTTAATACACCTTTTGTATTCCAGGGAGATTTGGTGTATGTGAATTATGGCAGAATAGAGGATTTCCACAGATTAGAGCGAGAGATGGGAATTAATTGTTCCGGGAAAATTGTCATTGTCAGATATGGGAAGATCTTCAGAGGAAATAAGGTAAGAGATTATGAGCTTTGCCTTTCAAGCATGAGAGGAACGCTTACAAGAAACCGAAAAATGATTAGGGGACTGGAAGCTAAAACATATGAAAAATGGTTGCAAGAATTAGTTAAGTCTAATTTAATGAAAAGAAGGTATAGGGGTGACATGACAGCTGTCTTCCAATATCTAAAGGGCTGCCTCCGAGAAGAGGGGGTAAGCCTATTCTTCAAAACACCTGAAGGCAGGACAAGAAGCAACGGGTGGAAACTAATCAAGGAGAGAAGCAACCTAGAACTAAGGAGAAACTTCCTGACAGTTAGAACAATTAACCAGTGGAACAACCTGCCTCCAGAAGCAGTGAATGCTCCAACACTGGAAGTTTTTAAGAAGAGACTGGACAGCCATTTGTCCAAAATGGTAGCGGGTTTCCTGCCTGAGCAGGGGGTTGGACTAGAAGACCTCCAAGGTCCCTTCCAACTCTGTTATTCTATTATATTGTTCTGTTAGTCAAACTATGGATTTTTTTTTTTAGCTAGATGAATAAAATTATTTAGTTCACCAATCATTTTTAATTCCTAGGTTAAGAACGCTTACCTGGCTGGAGCCAAAGGCATCATTTTATACTCGGATCCTGCTGATTCTTGTGCTCCTGGAGTTCAGCCTTACCCAGATGGCTGGAATCTGCCAGGAGCTGGAGCCCAACGTGGAAATGTCCTCCTGCTGGATGGTGCTGGGGATCCTCTCACCCCAGGGTATCCAGCTAAAGGTGACCAGAAAAGAAGCCTTCTAGGGATGCATCCTAAAGTAGGCACAACCTGAGGTTCAAATACTTATGAGAACAGTATCCTAAGAAAATAGCACTTGATTGTGTAGTCTTTATTTGTTGAACTGATATAATTGAGACCATCTCGCCGTGGCCAACTCTCTGAGGGACAATTCCATGTGGGATAACTCAACGCAATAAATGTTATCCACCACTGTTTCTTTGACATTATTTCCATTGACAAAAATGGAAATAATGTTAAAGAACAGTGGCAGGTAACATTTAGCGTGTATAGTTATCCCACATGGAATTGTTCCATTGTGAGTTGTCCCCTGCCAAGTTGGCAATGGAGAGTTGTCCCAGAACAAGTTGGCCGTGGTGAATTGTCCCACAATGAGTTGCCCACTGTGAATTGTCCCAGGATGAGTTGTCCCAGGATGAGTTGGCCACAGTGAGTTGTCCCACAATGTTGGCTGAGGTCAAAACATTGGAGAACACCAGAGTGGGAAAAAGAAGTGTAGTGAATACAGAGAAAAAGATTCAACAAGAATAGAATCACATGAAATGGCAATACTCAGAGGGTAACCGCCATAGGGAATAAACAGTAAGTAGGGTCATACCTGGTTATTACTGGGACAGGAGAACCCCAAGAAGTTCTAGAAATGAGAGCCAAAATGGAACTTTGGAACAAACACCCTAGAGCAGTGATTCTCAACCTGTGGGTCGGGACCCCATTTGGAGTCGAACGACCATTTCACGGGGGTCGCCAAACAAGGCTGTCCGCCATTCCCCCCCCCTTTTCTTTGGCCATGCCCCTGGCACCCAGTGATGTATAAGTGGTTGGGGGGGTCACCACAGCATGGGGAACTGTATTATGGGGTCGCGGCATTAGAAAGGTTGAGAACCACTGCCCTAGAGGAAGATAAGAGCAAATCATGTTCATGTTATATTGCTGAGAACACCATGTGGATTTGTCCGTCCGGTCACTTGCTCCAAGTCCACTGTCCCAAGGAGTGTCATTTTGCAGACTCTTCAGAAATGTGGTTTTTCAGCTATAGTCCTATTGTTAGTAGATGTCTTAATGGCGATAATACTTAGATTTATATGCCACTTCACAGTGCTTTACAGCCAGTGGTGGAATTCAACCAGTTCGCACCGGTTCGGCAGAACTGGTAGTTAATTTGAGGCTGAGTTTTGCTGAGTTCAGAGAACTGGCTGAATGGAAACTGTCCAGTCTAGGCCTAGAAGGAGACCCGCCGGAAATTTGTGGATGCTACTTCTGGAAGTCCGTTCTAGGCCTTGGAGGCCCAGGCCTGCATCCAATAAGAGAACTGGTTGTTCAGGTATTTCAATTTCACCACTATTTACAGCTCTCTCTAAGCGGTTTACAGAGTCAGCATATTGCCCCCCACAATCTAGGTTCTCATTTTACCCTCAGAAGGATGGAAGGCGAGTCAACCTTGAGGTGGTGAAGATCGAACTGCTAAACTGCAGGCAGCCAGCAGTCAGCAGAAATAGCCTGCAGTACTGCACTCTAACTATTGCACCACCGTGGTTTAAGCATCTGAAGTGCTCTTTTATGTTATGTTTCTGAAGTGCCTGCATTTGACAGTCCTTGAGATATAATATATGGGGCAAGTCTACCCCACTGCAACCTATTGGGAGACAGAGAAAAGATGACCTTGCAGTTATCCAAGCCTTTAATCAAGTATGGTTTTAAAGGTGACAATCAGCCTCTTGAATTGTCCTCAGGATATAGCATAGTAATTGGTACCGTTCTTATTTTAGAATATGCATATCGCTTGGAAGAAGCTCAAAGTGCAGCAAACTTAAATATTCCTGTCCACCCCATTGGTTATCACGATGCTGAGAAGCTGCTAAAGTAAGTCCAAATGATACAATCATTATATCACTCTCAGTCACTAAATTGTGGAAGTTGGTTGTAAATTTCAAATGGTCACTATGTGACCAGCCAGAAATCGGTGTACTACTTGTACTGCTACTGTGTAAGACAGGCGTAGGCAACCTTGGCTCTTTTATGACTTGTGGACTTCAACTCCCAGAATTCCTGAGCCAGCCAGGCTGAGGGAAAAGGGGGAGGTTTCCAAGCTGAGCCATGCTGGCTCAGGGATTCTGGGAGTTGAAGTCCACGAGTCATGAAGGGGCCTTAGTTCCTCCATGCTGGCTCAGGAATTCTGGGAGTTGAAGTCCACGAGTCATGAAGGGGCCAAAGTTTCCCCCATGCTGGGTCAGGAATTCTGGGAGTTGAAGTCCACGAGTCATGAAGGGGCCAAAGTTTCCCCCATGCTGGCTCAGGAATTCTGGGAGTTGAAGTCCACGAGTTATGAAGGGGCCAAAATTTCTCCCATGCTGGCTCAGAATTCTGGGAGTTGAAGTCCACGAGTCATGAAGGGGCCAAAGTTTCCCCCATGCTGGCTCAGGAATTCTGGGAGTTGAAGTCCACGAGTTATGAAGGGGCCAAAATTTCTCCCATGCTGGCTCAGGAATTCTGGGAGTTGAAGTCCACGTGTCATGAAGGGGCCAAAGTTTCTCCCATGCTGGCTCAGGAATTCTGGGAGTTGAAGTCCACAAGTTACGAAGGGGCCAAAGTTGCCTACCCCTGGTGTAGGATGTAGAGAAGAGAGGAACGAGGGCAGTAATAGAGCCCTTTTGAAGAAAATTCTCTGCATCGTAGCAAATCTTTATTTTGCAACACCTGCTTATAAAAAATATTCAAAAGAACATGCTGTACAAGGACTTGGTTTTTTTTTCAGCCAATCCATTTTAAATTCCCAAGAGTTGTAACCCTTCTTGTTTCCAACAGGGAAATGGGAGGCGCTCCTGCACCGGATAATATTTGGAAGGGACAGCTTTCCGTGCCTTACAATGTGGGACCTGGCTTTATAGGGATTTCTTCAAAAAGGTGAGGACGCTTTTCACAGAAACTTTGGTAAAACTTGTTAAGAAGTAAATAATAAATGAAATAAAAGGACGGGGAGAAAAGAACACTTTCAGTTTTAGAGTGGGAGGTAATTGAGGGCTTCTAGTTGACCAACCTCTCTCACAAAATAAAGTGAAGCAGCTGCTTGGGGTAATACAGATAACCCTCATTTAGTGACCATTTGAATTATGACCCCCCTCCCCCCCCCAGCTTCAAAGTGGTATCCATGAAGTTCCAATGGCTGCTCCTCCCATGGCAACAGCCTGCATTTAATTTGTTCACACGAAAAATATTTATGATATTTTTGCTGAAACAGTAAAAGTAAACAGTGTTTACTTCTGAGTTTTAGGCAAAATGCCCCATAGCAAACAATGGATTTGCTTAATGACCACGGTGTTCAATGAACTACACCTCTAAAAGTGGGTAGTAAAATCAGTGTGGTCACATGGGTGACTCACTTTGCCACCATCATGTCTTAGGACCATAATGGGCAGGCTCCATTCCTGTCATAAGTTGAGGACTACCTGTAAATGGGAGGAGAAACAAATGAGGTCAGTTCAGTTCCTTTTGTCCTCTCGTTCTTCTAGAAAACCAGATTTTCAGAAGTCCTTAGTATGATTTCTGTGATCACAAAGAGGACTGAAATGCTGAAATGTCCACACAACACCTTAAGCCTGGTTACTACTGTTATGTCCCGAGCCTTGCAAACGGCTCGGGCATTTGCAGGCAGTCCCGGGCAGGTGCAAAGCTGCCCGGGACCAGACAGGCTGTCGCCAGCGCCGTGCGCACGCGCGGGTGCTGGCGCGGGAAAAGTATCGCATTTACCCGGGAAATGTCTATATAAGAAGCTGGGAGGTTTTGGGAGCTGCTGAAGCCATCTACTTGCAAGCTGAACGCAGAATAAAGAAAACTGAGAACTCCAACTGCTTCTCGTGTCTGCTTCCCGCCAAGGACTCAACACTGGCGACGAGGATGGGATTGCCTTACACCGCCTGGAAAGGAAGAAGTGTAAGCTTACCCAAGTGAGTCCTAAGCGGCGGAACGGCGTCGACTCGGCAGCTACCCGCCAATCCAGTGCGCATTCGGGGGTAGGCTGGCTGATAGACCCGTCTCCTGAAGATGGCGAAAATCGGAAGGCTTTCGGAATTCGACGTCTCACATCCAGAGCGGTGAGAGTCATACGTAGCCAGGGTGGAGAACTACTTCAAGGCAAACCAAGTGAGGGAAGAGAGCTTGAAGGCTGCCACCCTGCTTTGTGTTTGCGGTCAAGACGCCTTCGACATCGCAGAAAACCTTGCAGCACCTGTTCCAGTAGAGTCTGTCAGCTACGCAGATCTGAAGAAGCTACTGAAGGAGCACTTCCACCCCAAGATGTCCGTCATCGCATGGCGCCACACCTTCGAGCAGAGGGATCAACGGCCCGGTGAGTCGGCCAAAGAATTCATCGCCGCATTACGGAAGGCCGCCAAGCACTGCGAGTTCAAAGACCTCGAAGAACGACTGAGGGACCGATTCGTGTGTGGGTTAAGGCATCGAGATCTACAACAGAGACTTTTCGCTAAAGAAAAATTGTCCTACCAAGATGCCTTAAGGGAAGTCACCGCAGAAGAAGCAGCAGGCGGTGCTGTCAAGAACATGCGGCCGATCAGAAACAGTCCAGAGGTTGCATCCGTGCACCAGGAAGACGTCCAAAGAAACTCCGAGGAGGATCCGGACGAGGAAGTCGACCGTCTCCACCCCACGAAGGAAGAAAAACAGAAGGGAAGCTCTTCAGCTCCGCTCAAGTGCATCGGCTGTGGAGGTCGCCACAGGAGAACCGACTGCAAGTTCCGCTCCGCTACCTGCCGGGCATGCGGCAAACAAGGACACATTGCAGCTGTGTGTCTGGGCCGACGAAAGGTACAACCTCAGGAAGAACTGCGCCTGAAAGGTACCAGATTCCCCAGCCAGAATAGGGTAGGGTTTTGCGCTTCGCGAAGAAGCATCCTTAGGACAGGCACACACAAGCCCATTAAGAAAAAGCTGTCACTCAAGGTGAAGCTACAAGGGGTTCCATTATCTATGGAACTAGACACAGGGTCTGCCTTTTCAATTATCTCCTTGCATACATTTAGGAAGATTTGTTCCGGTAGTGGAACTCAGGCCAAGTTAAGGCCTTCTGACATTGTGTTAACAGATTTTCAAAATTCAAGAGTGTGTGTTAAGGGGGAGGCCACCCTTAACATGCAATACAAGAGTTTTGAAGGTCCACTAGACTTATTAGTAGTAGGGGGTGAACGAACGAGTCTCATAGGACTCGATTGGTTTGAGGCCCTGGGGATACACGTCACAGGACTCAACAGTTTACAAACACTCGACCTACAGGAAGTCTGCAAAGAATTTGCAGATGTTTTCAGCCCCCAGCTGGGCACATTCAAAGGACCCCCTGTGTCCTTAAAGCTAGACCCCACTGTCACTTCCCATTAGAATTAAAGCAAGAAGGGTCCCTTTTGCTTTAAAGAGTAAAATTGACACTGAGTTAGACAAACTGATTCAACAGGGAATCCTAGAACCTGTTGATTCCAGTCCTTGGAGACCCCCATTGTCACGCCTCTAAAGGCAAATGGGGACATTCGCATTTGTGCTGACTACAAATGCACTCTGAATAAGGCATTGCAGCAACATGCCTATCCTGTTCCTGTGGTCAGTCATATTCTGGCCTCACTCAAGGGGGGGGGGGCGCGTTTTTGCAAAGCTTGACCTAGCTCAAGCGTATCAACAGCTGCCTGTTGATGATGATGCTGCTATAGCTCAGACTATTGTGACCCACAGGGGAGCCTTTAAGGTAAAAAGGCTGCAGTTTGGAGTGAATGTCGCTCCTGGGATTTTCCAAAGCGTAATGGAAAACACACTGCGGGGCATACCGGGGGTTTGCCCCTACTTTGATGATGTCTTAATTGCAGGAGACTCCACACACATTCTAGCTGAAAGGCTAAGGGCTGTTCTGTTAAGATTCAGGAAATCAGGCCTCAAGCTCAAAAAAGACAAATGCAAGATTGGGGTGCCTTCTACTGAATTTCTGGGGTTCAAAATTGATGCTGCTGGGATTCACCCTGCTGAATCCAAACTAACTGCTATTTTAGAAGCACCTAGGCCAAAGTCCAAGGCCGAACTTCAGGCCTTCCTGGGCCTCCTGAATTTCTACAATTCTTTTCTTCCACAAAAGCTAGTGTAGCTGAGCCTCTTCACAGGCTACTAGACAAGCAAGCAGTGTGGCGGTGGTCACAGACGCATGAGGTTGCTTTAACAAAGTCAAGGCCTTGCTCACTTCTAACAGTGTACTTGCACATTTCAACGAGTCCCTTCCTGTGTGCATCGCTTGTGATGCGTCCCCTTACGGGGTTGGAGCTGTCCTGAGCCACCTCAGGTCTGATGGAACTCAGGTTCCTGTTGCATATTACTCCAGAACATTGTCTTCTGCTGAGCGCAACTACGCTCAGATAGACAGGGAGGCTCTGGCTGTTGTTGCTGGAATTAAAAAATTCCATGACTTTCTATATGGCAGGCACTTCACGGTCTTCACTGACCATAAGCCTCTGCTGGGACTGTTTACCACACGTAAGCAGACTCCCCAAATCATTTCCCCTAGAATGCTTAGGTGGTCTATTTTTTGTCTGCATATGATTTTTCTTTACTCCACAAGCCTGGAAAAGAAATGGGCCATGCTGATGGCCTCAGTAGATTGCCTCTGCCAGTAGTAGAAGCTGACCCTGCGCCAGCTGTCAACATTCTATCAATCCAAGCCTTGCCCGAGCTCCCTCTTAGTGCCAGGGATGTTGCCGCTGAAACAGGTACAGATCACACACTTTCACGTGTCCGTTCCTGGGTTTTGTCTGGTTGGCCTGAGCACTGCCCTAGTCCTGAGTTTCAGAGTTTCTGGTCCAAAAGGAACGAGCTGTCCCTTTCTCAGGGTTGTCTGCTTTGGGGAAACAGAGTTGTCATTCCCACCTCAATGAGGACTAGGGTCTTAGAATCCCTCCACGAGGGTCATCCTGGCATTGTTCGTATGAAGGCTCTTGCGCGCAGCCACTTGTGGTGGCCTGGTTTAGATAAAGATATTGAGGCTAAGGTGCATGCATGCCACCTGTGCCAACGATCTCGCCCAGAGATGCCCCAAGCTCCCGTGCATAGATGGGAGGAAACACAGTCCCCATGGTCTAGGGTGCACATTGACTACGCTGGACCCTTTCAGGGCCAGTTCTTCTTGGTCCTTGTTGACAGCCATTCGAAATGGCTTGAGGTTGTACCTGTCTCATCCACCACCACTGCAAAGACTATTCAGGTACTGAGGGGGATTTTTGCTGCACACGGGCTTCCAGATGTCATTGTGTCTGACAACGGCCCTCAATTCACTTCCTCCGAATTCCAAGCTTTCTTACAGGCAAACATGATTCGTCATGCCACGTCTGCACCCTTCCACCCGTCCACCAACGGTATGGCTGAACGTATGGTGCGCATCACAAAGGACGCATTGAAAAGACTCACCTATGGGGACTGGCATCACAGGTTGGCTGACTTTCTCCTTTCTTATCGCACCACACCGTCCACTTCTACAGGGAGAAGCCCAGCTGAACTTCGTTGGGGGCGTCAACTTACTACTAAACTTGACCGGTTGCATCCGGACAGACTGCCTTCATCTACCTCACATCCTAAGGCACCTAGACAACTACTTGTGGGTGCCCTGGTTTGGGCTCGCAATTACGGGCCTGGTCATACATGGATCCCCGCTTCTATTTCGAGGGTCACAGGTCCTCTCTCCTACGAGGTAGCCCTGGACAACGGTCGTGTCCTGCGTCGGCACATCGACCAACTCCGCCCTAGGCGGGACTTTTCAGATGAGACTCCTGGGTCTTTTCCAGGGGGGGAGGGGGACCCTTTGGAGCAAAGGGAAGGGCACGAGCTGCTGCCCATCTCCACTGATGGAGCCACAAACGGCCCATCCCAGGGTTCCGCGAGAGCT